AATAGAGTAATGTTATTAAGAAATCACTCAGAAAAAGGAATCAAAATTATAATATATCATGCTAATGTTTAAAAGTAGACATCACATAAATCCAATTCTACAAATTATAATCAAATTTTTACATTATTCATAAATTACTAAAAGTCATAAACAATATTTTAAATCAAAATGCTTGAATATTGTATTCAAATATTGTTATCTTTCAATTTAACCCCATAACTCACAATAGATAATGCAATATTCATATATAGTATTAATAATTTATATTCATAATTAAAACTTAAAATTAATTTTTAAAAAAAATCGGAAATTTTGATCAATTTTTTTTTTACAAAAAAAAATGTTAAGCTAAGGTGCTAAATAAGTAAAAAAGTTATCAGCAATTAACTGTAGTGATACTACTACTGAATCTAACATTACCAGTTCTAAATCTTTTGATGCTCTGGAGGAAACTCTATTACAGCTATATGAAATGGGAGGATCTCGTTGAATAGTTCCACTACTAATATGCCAGTAATATGGTCCACTGTCATCTAAAGTAGTCCGAATGAGAATAATTAAGAGCAGAAATTTTACTTATTTAATTTAATGAGATATTTCTTCAGAATCATTATGAAATTAAGATAAAAAAAATTATCAAAAGAAATACAAAATCTGAAATTTTACATTACCCCTATAGAATCATATTCTTTCTTTGGATTTCCATTACATCTGTAAAAAGCTCAATGAACTTTAAACGAACCTTTACAGGTGCAATGGATATCTATTAGAAGTATGTATTGCATGGATTTTTACATTTAACAATAAATAAAATAAAACTGAAATGTAAACCTGCACACACATGCTTATCCATGTCTCAATAATAAACAAAATAAAGTCAGTATTAATTTTGAGAATAAAACGTTAAAAACAATTTATATGGTAACTAAAACATATTTCAGTAATTTATGCAACTTAAAATACTATTATATCATCAATAGCAAATAATGTTTAATGTCTATTTTTCAGAATTAAAAAATAATAAAAAGAAAAGTAAAAACCATTATAATTTGAAACAGTAATTCTTCCACAAATTAGGTGATTTAAAAAAAAGTCAGGAAATTTATGATCTTATCATAATATTTTTACAGAAATGTTCTTATACAAAGCTCATAAAATGAAAATGTAACGATTCAATGTACGAATAAAACTTAGTAATTTTACATATGTTCTAGTTTTATATTTAAACAAATAAATAAATAAATGACTTCATCTAGTATAATTTGAAAAACACTTTTACTTAAAAATATGTCAGCTATTACAAAAAAAAAATCACACAATATAATCAGAGTACCAGTTATTTTGTATCATTTTAACACACAAATATACATCTAATAAAAATCTTTGAAGTTCATTTAAACGACTTCAGAATAAAAATAAAATCTTTTATGGAAAACCTGAAGAAATGATTTTAAAATAAATATGACTACACAAGTTCTTTATCATAAAATAAAGGAATATATTATTTCGAATCTGTATGTCATATCCAAATAATGCACCTATCAAGATTAATTAAATATGAATAGAAAAGCAATTTTATAATAATCAAATAGAAAGAGATATCTAGCAAAAAAAATATTTGATTTACATATGTACTGAATGAAAAATGGCAAATGTGATTAAATAAATTGCATCAAATTCATAAGATAATAACTAAAAGAAAATCAATATGCATGTGTCTAAAAAAATTACCCTGTTTTTAAAAATGATAAATAAAATTTTAATTTCAAAGAATATTTTTTCTTTTTTTAATTTTTGTAGTAAAATTTCTGAGAATTACCAAGGGAAATAATTTGATTTTTATATGTAAAAAAATTACAAAATTCTAGCTTTATATTAGAAAGGAGAAAATTATTCTGATATAATGGAAACTGTTCCACATTCAACCTTTAAGAAATGAAGTGTAGAATAAAAAGTCTACAAAGCCTAAAAAGTCATTGTGGAATCATGGGTAATGAGTTTGCTGACACACAAGCCAGGGTTGGCTCTGACCTTCTACAACCTGATTCTCCTGTTCGTTATTAAAATGCTAAAAGAATCATGAATGCAAAATTTAAAGCTCATCTTTAAGAGAAGATTGGCAATAAGGGGGATTTGGGGTTTCTTAATTGGAAAGTCCCATTTTTTTGTGACTTGATTAAACTTGTTGACACTGCTAATTTTAGAACTAACACTGGACATGACTATCTCACAAAGCATAAGCACAGATTTGGTTTAGTAAATTCCCTAACTTGCACTTTATGAATGCTAATATAGACCAATTGGTTTCTTGATCTGGACTCGTGGACTGAACAGCAATTAATGTAGTTAAAAACTATTGTAACTTTTATTATGTTTCTGAACTATATTAAGCTGCCAGGCATACTGATGGCAGTCATACTTAAATGTGACATAGGTTAAAATATATGCATATGCTGCTTTTCATAAATTAGTTATCTTTTCAAAAACCTAGTTCATTTTATAATTCAGTTAAAGGACAATAATTCAGTTCTGGGATAGTTCAATTTTAATGATAGACAATGCAAACACCAAAAATATACATAGTTCTACCTTAACCACTTTTCAGTAAGAAAACCATGAAAATTACAAAAAAAATTATAACAATAAAATCTATCAAACACAAAGTTTACTTTGTCAGCTTTTTTGGAAAAAATTTCTTATTAATTCCAGTTGAAACATTTAACTTGGCATTAACTTTCAAGTAAATATTAAAAAAAAAAAGTTTCAAACATAATGTGCAGTAAACGAAGTACTTACAGATTCTTTTTTGCTGTAATAAAATAACAAAAGGTTTAGCAAAATAAAACCATTTTTCCAATATATATATATATATATATATCTGAATTGCTTAATTTAAATTCTGATCTTATATATATATTTTTTATGCACGTTAACTACAAATAAATTTTTTCTAATCATGTCTCATTTCATTTCCCATGTTAAAAGGATTAAAAATCCTGTATTTATTTATTTTCTATTCCTAGAAAATAAATAATTAATACATTACACATGTACTTCCCAGAGATTAGGTAGCACCATGTTTTCCGCTAAAACACCCTGCACAACTTCTAAAAGAAACTACTGTTTTCCTCCCTTTAACAACGTGATTATAACACCCTTATTATTTTTCTCATTGTGTTTCCTTAGCTGAGAGTTTGGCAATTCTTCAGTCTCTTTTCTCGATCTATACTTTAAACGAAACTATTCACGATGGCTACTCTCTACTATGTTTAAAATATTTTAGCTTATTGATTTTTTGACTACTTTGCTTTTTTCTTGTCAAGACTACATACAAAATACCTTCATTACATATATCTTTAACATATAAGAAACATTTTCAAAGAACAGCAATAGAATTAGTGTTAAAACAAAATGTTCCCTGATTTAGAAACAAAATAATCAACCTTCATGACGTTCCCAACCAGATGGAAGGCAGTCATTGTCTGCAGTTTCATTGCATGAAAGCTTGTCATAATTAGTGGATCCAGTCAACCTGAAAAAAGAAGAAATTAATTCAAAAAGAGATCTTCCATTATTATGAAGTTTCAAACTTCAAATATAAAATTATAGTTTTTTTTTCAGAATAACAATAAAAATGATAAAAAGAATAACAAACTTATAAGAGAGCCTACCTTATTTTTTACAGATTAAACAAATACATATAGTTCAGCATGTCAATAACGAAATATCTTAAGCTAAAACACAAATAGTTTAAATAAAATGACAGTTTTTTTTTTACACATAATTAACTAAATCAATGCTTCAGAATTATAGAACAAGGCAATTAAAAGTTAGCAGAATAATGGTTAATTATAGTCAAACAAAAGCATAAACTTTTACTGCAATTTTTTTTATTTGTAATGGGCTGCGAATTGATCATTAACCATTGCAGACCTATGAACTCCCCGGAAGCTGGTATCACTTTTTAGTGTGGTGCCCTATAGGTGGATACCAATCGCCGCAGGTAATTCTGACGCCCAGTTTCCTCCTTAGAGGAAGGCACCTGAGCTCTGACGATGCGAACCAGTACCAGGATTTAGTTTTACTGAGAGCATCCAAGCCAAACAGACAAGACACTCTTGGGATTTTTTACATGCCCTATAATCATAGGACATGGCCACTGTCGATTTTCTGCATCATAAAAATACATCGACTAGGGCCGGGGTCGAACCTGCAACCTTGGGTACAGAAGGCCAGAGACAAACCAACCATGCCACCCAGCTGGCTGAACTTTACTGCAAAATTAAAAACTTAAATCTTTAAAAATCTCAAGAACTATGCAATCAAGACCAATATTTAACACATCAAAAGAAAACTTAATTTTTTAATGAGATGATAGAATGGAATTGAAACAAAACTAAACTTCAAGTATAGAAAAATGCTCATATAGCACTCTCAAGAAAAAAAGATGTATTACAATACAGCAAGCAGTCAGAGGCTTTAAAGGATCTCTCTCTGGCAAAACAATTTTAATAAATAAATAAAATGCATATTAAAAATAGACACCTTTTTTTGATAAAAAAAATTGGTGTTTGGCAAATATTACATAATTTGTCTTCTTTTTACCAAGCAATAATGATTTCTACATTTTGTTTTTGAAAAATTGTGGAGGTACTGTAATGTATTAAAGTAATTGTAACAATTTTAAAAACAAACAACATCTTTAAAACAAAACATTCTTTCATATAAACACTTACAAATTTTAAAAGAATAACTAAAAATGAAATAGGTAAATCAGAGCAATGAATCAAAATGTTTAATTATAAGCTAACATAATCTCAAATAGCGTCTTACTAAGTAACAAATATACCTAATAATTTGAAATTTGTTTCTTCTAGATTTATGTTAAAAGTTCTAATATAATAAGTTGAAAAAAGGCATCTTGTTACGTCGACACTGTTACTAAATCGTGTCTGCCAAAATTTCTATTTAGTTATTTTAAATTTAACACAAGAAAAGCCGCCCCACCCAGTATGCTGGTCATGACACTCAGCTTGTAACTAAGAGGGTTCGGGTTCGAATCCCGAGTAAGGCATGGATGTATCTTCGGGAAAAGAAATCGGACTTTTGCCTGAAATGGATTCCCATCTGGAAAGGAAAGCAGCATAACTCTTCTGCTCTTTGCTGAGATCATGGTTTGTAGAAAAATCTGTATTCTTTTGTGATTGTGTTAGATGTTTCTGTTGATCTATCTTTTGTAAGTATCCCAGTAATAAACACACGGCAACAACACAAGAAAAATAATTTCTTTTGCAAAACAAATAATAAAAGAAAACACAATGAAAGAATAAAAATTACATTTGTACCATATTTAGACAAACAACTAAAGAATTTAAAAGATGCTGGAAAAATAAATATAGGAATATTAATATTTGTGGTATTTTTTTCAGTTTGTTGCAAGTAATGTGTATTGTATGTTAGGCAATTCATTTTAACTGGCCATTTTCAAAACCTAACAAAGGTTTTGGCCATAGAGTTAACAGTTTTGTGGGCACAAGAGAGTACAGAATAGAAATATTTTATATAAAAATGAAATTAACATCCCAAATTATACCCAGAACACTTTTTAAATAAAGAGATATATTAATAAAAATGTTGCTAAAATATACAAATTTATATATTTTTTTATAAAATGTTTTATCGTCCTGTATTAAGAAATACTAACTTTTCTACAGATCCACATGGTTTTTCAACAGAAGAATCACAGTTCAAACACGAAATGGGAACTTTTTTCTTTTAAAAAAGGGGTTTCTTCCAGACTTATGTAATAATCTAGAAAGCTTGATTTCTTTCCCATGTCTTTGTTATCATTTGAATCGAAGACAGAATTACCATTGTCATTTCCCTGAAAAGATTCTTCTCTGTCGGAAGACTTCAAACCTTGTGTTTGATTTCTGTTGTATAAAAAAAAGTGCATTAATTTTACTTCATACAAATTTTATGGAAAAAAGGGAAAAAATTACCTCCCGGGCGTCAAAATTCCCGCCATTCAGAGATGCTTTTTTTGCCATCAAAAATTTTCCCGGGGGCCGACTTAAAAATACGGCTCAACCGCTTTTGAGATCCCCACCGAAAGCAAAAAAAAATGTGAGGCATTTTTTTAAAATCTCCCGAATGGAAGACTTTAAGTGCAACCATTAGAGGGGTTTTTTCAAACGATTAATGCATGATTACCAAAGCAAATATTTGAACTGAAAATATCATTGAAAAATATGACTGCATCAAAATTTTTTAATCCCATTTCTTTAAAAGTCATTTTTTTTTTTAATAACTAGAAAGAAAATGATCAAATATAATTAATTTTATTGTTATTATTTACCATTATTCATATGTAATACAAATAAACATCTATAAACAAATACAAAATTATCTGTATTTCAGAACTACCATATGATAAAAGATATTTAATCTATTCCAGTAATTATCACAGTAGGAAATGTGTGGCAAGTTCAGCTATTCATATCCTATTTAGATTCTCCTTCCATCACTAAGTGATAAGTTGTTCAAAAGAACACAACATTTTCAGCAAATACAGCTGTAGAGGACTGAAAACATTACAAACAAATTCGTTTTTGAAATCAAAAAGACAAACTTCTTAATATGATTTTGTAAATATATATATATATTAAACTAAAGAAAAAGTTTCTCATGACATTTAATTGTTCAAATTACAGGAACGACTGTACTTAAATAGTATCAAGATGCATATGTTTAAATATGGTCTACTTTAGGTAGTGCTTGTTTATGACTGATCATTATAAACAAGCAATACATAAAATATAAAATACTTATGTATCATATACAAAAAATAAAAGTTGTTTCTGAACCAGTTCAAACAAACTATCTTCAACATTGCTAACTCAAAACAGTATGCTGAAAGCCATCATTTGAGGTGTGCATGAAAATGCATTGTTTTTCTTGACAACTAAAAAAATTTAATAATTTGACAATAAAGCCCAGAACAATTACTTTGAACAAAGGTTCTAAATATAGTATAGTATTTAAAATTTGACAATTCAAAAAATCTTTATCAAACTGATAATTATTTAGGTATAATATATTATAAAAGATTTAAAATGCATACAAAAGTAAAAATTTTTTGGTCTTTTCCCCTTCTAATTTTGATCAGAAAGAAAGGTATACACATTTTTTTCAATTCAACACCTTGCAATTCAAGCTTTTTCATCACCAATTTTATTTTTGCATATCTAACATTTAAGGGGGAAAAATCTACCCTATAAAGTGTTAATAACTTTCTTAAAACAGAAATTTATATAAAAAAAATACTCACAAATTGTTTTCTGTACTTTCAGTAAGCATAGGTATTGTTTCTAGATCCACATCTACACCCATAGACACAGGATCCAAGCTGGCATATTTCCGCCTACCACGGATACTAAGCCTCCGATTTACTCTACAAGCAACATCCAACCCTTCGTATAAATCATCATAGCTGCCATCTACTTCAACATTACAATTTTCATCAGATGAAGTTAACTGATAGTTTGGATTGGCATAACTGAGAAGTTCAGTTTCTGTAAGATAAAAACAACACAAATATATTTTATTACAAAAGTTCAACTATATGAACATTACAAAAAAAAAAAAGGAAGAAAATATAGACTAGCTTTAAAAAAAGAGAGGATCAAAATAACTGAAAATAAAACACTTCAGCAATATTCTTTAGTAAGTAACATGTTTACATTAATTTTTATAAACTGATGGTAACTTGAAACAAAGGAAAAAGTACTGAAAATACAATATACAATCAAATCTTCCTAAAGTGAGTGAGTGAATATTAATATCGCACTGTTTAGCTACACGAGGGCTTTTGGCTATGGATCACGTAATTTCGAACCATGGTCAAGTGATGAAGACAACACCTGTGCTGGCACCCCCTCTCCAAAACTACCATACCACACCAACGGGAGGACGTTTGAGCTCTCGACAGATTTAACGTGCATCTCTCCCCTACACGGCGAGTCTTCAGCGGTAGTAGGCCAACTCTTTCTAAAAGAAATGATTTTAAGGCTATTTTTGCTTAATGTTAAAAAATAAACACCATTTTTTCAGATAAAAAATTATTCAATAATATTACATTATGATTGCACTACTGCATTAAGATCATCATATTTCCATAAAACAAGTATATACAATAATTTTTTTTTTTGGCTAATATATGATGAAATAAAAATATATGATTTTTCTTTAAATGTCAAAAAATAGAGACGACTCTTCCAGAAAGAGAACTATTCAACGATGTTAATACGACAAGGGGTAAGTACGAAGACCTAGATCCATTTATCCATCAACTAATTCTGAAATATACCACAGGGACTCTAGCCTAGCTTACATTGCGAATGATTAAAATACAGCGTTTAATATATATAATTCATTAATTCAACATCAATAAACGATAAAACCAGATTAGACATGGCT